AACAGTAGCTTTAGAGCCTCAAAACAAGTCGGTCAGACTAAAAAGCTTTTTCACATTCACAAATCTCACCATCAACTCTAATGGTAAATAAAGATGTAGAGAAAAGAAATTCAGTAAAGAAGCAAAGATGACTTCTGTTGCTGTATCTAAAAATGTAAAACGGTTCATACGGTTTTATATTGTAATTAACTGAGAGATTTTTTTATTTTCTATTTTTTATTTGGATTTTTAGTCTCCATTGGTACTGAAGTCGGCACTTTCGACATTCCTAAATACTGTACTGTCATGACACGGATAAAAAAACCTCTCAAATGCCGAGTCAGCCTGTTTAAAAACAGATGAGTGAAAATATATCTTATATATAACTTATTTTAAGCCTCAAACTCAATCACTAGCAAGCAAAATCTAACAGTTTGCTAAAACTAGACATTATTTAATCGCCTCTGTGTAACATTTGATTGCATACAGTATGTGAGTGATTTACAAGGTTAACGCATGTAAACTGTATCAATTTTTACAAAACTAAATTATCTATACTAAGATTTTACCAGAGGCATTGTTAATATAAAATATTCTTTTTAATAATTCATTTCTAAAACATGATTTACTTTATTATTTCTTTTGGAAATAATAACTCTTGAGATGTCAAATAAAGTTATGATATTTAAGATAATTTATGCTAATGAGTGTGTATTTTAATGATGGATAATTTATGCATTTAAAAAACTAGGGTATACAAAACATTTGACGATGTACTGTGATTATCAAATGGGGAAAGTATGGTAAAACAGAGTTTACCCTATTGTTTTCACCCTATTTAACTGAGGTGTCTTGCCTTATAAACATAATACGCTAAACAAAGAATACTTATTTAGGCCTCAAATAAAATATGACTGGATAAAACTGTTTAAGGAGACAACATCAGTTTTAAACAACAGATTTGAATTAAATCATTAAAAAGAAGTACAGAAATATATCGAGATATTCTTTACCATAAGTTAACACACAAATTAGTTATGAGTGGGCCCACACAGAATCCGCCCACACAGAATTCCAGACTATTATTGAGTTTATGTATTTACTTGGATTAATGTGTGTAAATTTATATTAATTCAGTTTTAAATTAATTTTACTAATATTAATGTGATATAATAATAATAGTAAAAGTAATATGTTCATATGATTTAATTACAATACAGTTTGTAAAGTAATATTTTCTGTCTTTCAGTTGATATATTATATAAGAGACTTGCTTTGGATCTAATTGGATTTGCATTGTAAACTTTAAATAAAAGTTACAAATTTATTATTTTTAATTGTATTTATATATTAAGTTTTTAGTTATGATACTTCTAAAATGGTTCCGCATAAATTCACAGATTTTTTACAAAAATTTTCCGCAGAAATAGCCAAAAATGTCTGCAGATTCTGTCTGGCCCTAGTTATGAGACATATTTACATTACAGTTTTTATTAAAGTTATTTAAAACATTTATGTTAGCTCAGGTCCACAAAACAGCTGACGAGTTTTGAATTGACCAACGTTAAAATTTACAAATTAAGAATTTACAATAGAATTAAATAACTAGGGCTGGGCAATATGGCAAAAATGCAATCTTGATAATTATTTTCCATATTTAACGATTACGATGTATATTTCGATATAATTTGTTAATGCTTTCCAGATTTAAAAAAGTGCCCCAACAATGACTGAAGCCACAAAAATAAACAGGCCAATTAAATAGCATAACATATTTTGATTTTAGGCCGATAAATTTTCGGTAGCCAAAAATTCAGTACATCTCTACTATGAACACACCTAGATTCCCATTGTAGCACATTTCTGCTGTGTGATTGGCTCATTGATCAATATAGATTAAAAAAAAAAAAAACGTCCCAGAGCTTATCATTGTTATTGACAAAATTATCGCGATTCGATACAATATCATTCATCGGCCCAGCTCTATAAATAACCCATATTCAAGATGGTATACCTAAAATGATACCTACCTGTCAAAGAAACAACATTTTATTAAAAAAGGATCAAAAGATCATTCCAAAAATAGGGTGCTAAACACAACAAAGTGTGACAAATTTCATTTATCAGTAAGACTGTGAAAATTGAGTTTAACTGACTTATTTTCCAGACGCGCCATTAGTTGAAGAAATGTGAATGTGAACCTGAATGTGAATATTGAGTTAAAGTTCGTTTTATATTCCCAAATTCATTCAGTGACAACTTGTGACTTGCTCCTTATATTTACCATAGCACTTTGAATATTCGGTGAGGAATTACTTGTAAGCAGTGGTGGAAAGAGTACTGAAATGCATACTCGAGTAGAAGTACCATTACTACATAAAATATAGTGCAAGAAATGTTAAGCATCTGTTGTGAACATTACTCAAAGAATGAGTAAAAAGTAACCCTTTTAAAAGTAATCAAGAGTAGTGAGTAGTACACTGGGAAAGATAGATGCGTTTACATGTAATTTGTGCATGTGTGTGTAAACGTAACATTCTGAAGTGCATTTAGTTATTGTTTAAGGCCATTGCTGTCATCATACAGTAAACATCCGTCACCATCTCATTAGTGACATCCAGTCTAAATCAGGGCTGCCCAAACTCGCTCCTGGAGGGCTGGTGTACTGCATAGTTTAGTTCCAACCCCAATTAGACACACCTGAGCTAGCTAATTAAGCTCTTACTAGATATGCAAGAAACTTCTTGGCAGCTGTGTTGAGGCAAGTTAGAGCTAAACTCTACAGGACACTGGCCCTTCAGAACCTAGTTTGGACACCCCTGGTCTTAATAGTCCCTGGGTCAATGCGTGTAAAGTATTTCCATGGGCACTTTTAATGCTTCCCAACACTTTGCTGCATGTTTTAAGGTACTTAGTTTATTTTCTATGTGTGATTTTGATTGGACAGGAAATCGCATGATTTTTCTAATCCCCATAGACTGAACAAAATACATATAAAGTAGTGGCTGCAGGTTGAAGGAAAGTAGTGGAGTAAAAGTACAGATACTGCACTAAAAATTTACACAAGGTAAAGTAAAAGTGTTTAAAACTACTTCCTAAACTACAATTCCAGGGAAAAAACTAATCAACTGACTAATATGGTTTCACTATTGAGAATTTCCAAATAACATTTTTGTAAAACTATATTATTAAGGAGAAAGTCTGAACGTGTGAATATAAAACCAACTTTACCTCATTGAGTGAGGTAAAGCTGGCTTTATAGTCACAATCGTTCAGTGACAAAATGTGGCTTGCTTCCTATGGTTTACCATGGTACTTTAAATATTCGGTGAGATATCACATGAAAGTATGACTTGAAAACAACATTACCACTATTTAATCGACAGTAAACAATGTACTTTGATAGTCATTGACTGCTAATAGAATTTTCTATTTAGAATTTGCAATATGTTTGTGAAATTATATTAAGGAGAAAGTCTGAATGTGTAAATATAAAACCAACAGTTTACCTCAGTAACGTGAGTGAGGTAAAGCTGGTTTTATTGACCTTACTCTAAAATGCGGAAGTGCGCCTGTTTTCGCGATTTTCTTAGAAATTCCGATTCAGTCGCCTATGGGAGAAATGACTAGGAATAATAAACGGCAGAAAACGGTCAAACTACTTGCTCTACAAACAAATGTATGCATGCCTATACAGACCAAGTAGAATAATATAATGAGAAAATATCAAATTGCAACGAGCAGTTTTTAACGTCAAAAAATGAATGGAAGTGAATGAGACCGGAAGTCTCGAGCCAAAAAGATTCAAATGGCAGCGCCCGCTCGTCGGCGAAGAATAAGGTGAATATTCACACATTTGTTCAGTGTTAACTTGTGACTAGGCATGAGGCGATAACTCGCGCTTTGGAAGAGTCAAGTTTTTAAAACCGCCAGCATTTTCTGCTATACCGTTCCTACAGTATATGCAGGATATTTTATTTACTTTTTTGTTTTCGTTTTTTAGGACAACAGTATCGTATCTCCAGTAGAAATTATATCCAAAGATGCCGTTTTAAAGTTTTCTTAAATTAAAATCTATTGTGTTCAAAGGAGAAAAAAAAAGTTTAGTTTTTTCCCCAGACATTTAAAAATAATATATTTTAGAGAAGTGATTACAATATACCGTGATATTTTTATCCAAGGTTATTATACTGTCAGAATTTTATACCAGCCCATGCCTAATTGTGACTTGCTCCCTATATGGTTTACCATGGTACTTGGAATATTCAGACTGAAATCACAAGCAAGTATGACTTTAAAACCACATTAGCACTATTTAATCGACAGTAAACAATGTACTTTGATAGTCATTGACTGCTAACATAATTTCATTATTTAGAATTAATAATATAATTTCACAAAAATATTGCTAAGTTGAAAGTCTGAATATTAAACCAACTTTTCATCAGTAACGTGAGTGAGGTAAAGCTGGCTTTATATTCACACATTTGTTCAGTGACAACTTGTGACTCGCTCAATATATGGTTTACCATGGTACAATGAATATTAGGTGAGAAATCACATGTAAATATCGCTTTAAAACAACATTAGCACAATTTAATTGACTGTAAACTAAGTAATATACAAGTAACATAATTTAATATTTAGAATTTGCAATATGTCTGTGAAAATATATTAATAAGGAGAAAGTCTGAACGTGTAAATATAAAACCAACTTTACCTCAGTAATGTGAATTACGACAGAGGTGAAATGAGTACGGCTGGCATTTCCTTCAGGTTACAGAATAGTGTAATACTCGGTTAATTTTTCTGCGATCAGAATAGACAGATTGTTCGTGTGCCAAACTAGCTGTACAGTTACATAAAAATTATGAATTATACATGACAGCACGAACTGAATCAAATCTACAACATTAGCGCATGACATGACACCGTGCAACAGGTATGACATAGTATTCCAAATATAAAAAATAAATGACATTTGCATATGAAAATTAACTGCTAGAAAGACAAACACTTACTTGCTTGTTTGGGGTTGCTGAGCTAGCGAGCGCTGCTAGCCAACTCGCTCGATCATCGACGCACTTGAAACTTCAAATATCCGAGCCAAACAGTCATTCAATCCATATCTGAGGCTTAAACTCCGAATGTTTTGAGGCTCTGTTTCACTTACGTGAGGGTCGATCGTTTGTCCATCTCGTTAATTGTCGTAACATTTGACTTGCTAAGATGTTTGGGGTCAAGTTTAGACCGAAGGCTAACTGCGCGTTAGCAAGCGCTGCTGCTAGTTACTTGCTCTTTATTTACAAAACATGACCAAAAGAGCTTCGCAACCAGGCGTGCTGTGTTAACTCGAAACGACCACACAGTCGACGATATACTTCCTTAAATCAAGCCACCAGTTGGATATGTTATGGACGGGATCAGCACTGGAGTGACAGCTAGCGCGCATGCTAACTCACCCGACGCGACAGCCAGGAGCAGGTCATGCTTTAACAAACCACATCTGTGTTTATCTTTAAAAGACGGTTGTTTTGTCTGCCCGTCCAAAAAGAAACTATTGAAGAGCAGCTTTTACTTCCACGCAGATAGCCTGTGTCTTCCTGTGGTCTCAGACGGAGGTAGCGCCCTGTGGTTACTGCAGTTGACACACCACGGTGGAGGTGTCTCAATTCCTGGAGTGCTGCCTACAGAGACAGCGAGCATAGGTTGAGCTAAATAGCTTATAACCCTCACTTAAAAACTAATCAGAATCGCTGTCAGATTTAACTGAACATTCCGTTTGTTCAGTCTTAATAATAAAGATTCCAATAAAGGCCTTTGCCTTGGGTTTTAGCCATACACATACATAATGTCATTGAGGTAAAGTTTTATATTCGCACATTGTTTACCATGGTACTTTGACTATTCTGCCTGAAATCACATGTAAATATGACTTTAAAACAACATTAGCACTATTTAATTGACTGTGAACAATGTTGTACTTCGATGCTTGTTGGCTGCTGATATGATTCGCCTATTCAGAATTTGCAATTAATACTTTACTGAGATTATATTATTATTATTTATTAATAAAGTCGGAATGTGCGAATATAAAACCAACTTTACCGCAATCAGAATGTCTATGTGACCCTGGACCTCAAAACTTATGTCTTATGTTATGTCTGACAGGTACAGTATATAGCCAAAAGTACATTGCATTGGTTAAAATGATCTCTTTTATGCGAAAAAAATAATTGGAATATTAAGTAAACATCATGTTCTATGAGGGTTTTCTGTAAATTTCCTATACTAAATACACTCACTGGCCGCTTTATTAGGTACACGTTACTAGTACTGGGTTGCACCTTCTTTTGCCCTCTGAACTGCCTTAATACTTTGTGGCATAGATTCAATAAGCTCAATATTTTGCTTGCGTTCAAAAAAAAAACAAAGAAAATTTTAGTTGATATTTTGTAGGTTGTAATTTATTTTTGCAATATTTTTCTTGAATTTAATTTTATTATCTTTCCATTTCTAAATATGTTGGGTGATTTAAAAATATTATTTTAATAAATATATCTGTTTAATAAATCTGTTTTGTTTAAATGCACCAAAATACATTGCCAAATTCACTGAGAAATGGATACAAATTTTCATTTTTAAAAATGGGGATGCACTCAATTATGCTAAAGAAAATATACAACAAATTGGTGCAAAAACATATTTACAAACATATGATTCATATACACTGTTGGGTAAAGTTATTAAGAGTCATAGATTACAATATTGAGTCATTTTTAAAGTAACTAGATATACTAAATGTTACTTATTTGCTTTTAAAGGAAAGTGATGTGAAAGTATGCATCGTGTTGTTTTGCATTGAGATTGTAATTGTAACTTTACTTAAAACTTAAACACAATACAAAAAAGTGTGTGTTTTAATTAATTTTAAATATAAATAAATAATAGAAATTACATTATAATATACATTTGAATAGAAATGCAGATTAGAATGTGTGTTTTAATTAGGAATTTTAATAAGTGTGAAAAGGACTTGTCATTTAGTGTGAAGAACATTTAACTGATCTCCAGAACATTTTTCACTGTAGGATTCTTCAAAGATGCCAATAAAGAGCCTTTATTCTTAAGAGAGAGTAACAGTAGTGACCCTGTGCTATAAAACCTTCATCAGAATGCAATCAATGATTAACTCCAGACCCTCGCAGCACTGATCCTTTTTAGATTGTTCGGGCATTTTGTATTTGGCCATTTGGAAATGTTTTTGTGGCTGAGTGACTTAGTTAAATAATAGCAAGGAAGTGAAAGTAAGGATGGTGGACTTGACCTTCAAATCGACGCTCTCTGTTTGACCTCTCGGTTTGGTTTTAGGTGAAAGCAAAGCGTGTTTGCTATACACACGCTTCACTGCATATTCAAACTCATGCTGCGCTTCTAGGTCCTTTATTTTTCCTTTTTTCAATTCGTCAAAATGTCAGAGTCCATACCTAAACACCAAACAATCTGTTGAATACATCAACAGTAGGTGTGCGACGAGATGCCTACTCCACGAGACGAGGTGAGACACAAGATTGGGTTCATGAGAACGAGACGAGACAAATTTTTATACTATTTTTAAGAAATCTTCAATGATTTAAATGGAAAATAGTCTTTTATTCAACTAAAAAAATCACATAACACAAAAATATTTAGGTGCTTTTTTTAAATCAACTATGTAATAAATGGTAGTTTACTTATATTTTAATTAATTATATGGGGACATGCAAGCACTGTAAAATATTTGCTAATATATGACCGGAAAAAGCGCGACAGTGGCGCAGTAGGTAGTGCTGTCGCCTCACAGCAAGAAGGTTGGTGGGTCGCTGGTTCGAACCTCGGCTCAGTTGGCGTTTCTGTGTGGAGTTTGCGTGTTCTCCCTGCGTTCATGTGGGTTTTCTCCGGGTGCTCCGGTTTCCCCCACAGTCCAAAGACATGTGGTACAGGTGAATTGAGTAGGCTAAATTGTCCATAGTGTGTGTGTGTGGATGTTTCCCAGAGATGGGTTGCAGCTGGAAGGGCATCTGCTGCGTAAATACGTGCTGGATAAGTTGGCGGTTCATTCCGCTGTGGCGATCCCAGATTAATAAAGAGATTAAGCGGAAAAAAAAGAATGACTGATTTAATTATTTGGGTTTTATCAAAATCTGGTTCAGTTCCAACACATAAACAAATGAACCAATACTGTAGTTCTCTACAATTATGGTAAATATACTACTACAGTACATCACAGTTTATTGTACTGTTGTATAATACTAGCTACTTACTTAACTGTTTCCCAGAGATGGGTTGCAGCTTGAAGGGCATCCGCTGCCTAAAAAACTTGCTGGATGAGTTGGCGGTTCATTCCGCTGTGGCGACCCCGGATTAATAAAGGGACTAAGCCGACAAGAAAATGAATGAATGAATGAATACTTACTTAACTGGTGGTTAATTTTGCTGTGGCGACCCCTGATTAATAAGAGAATAAGCCGAAGGAGAAAAAAATGAATGAATAAACTTACTTAAGTAGCATTAATTAACAAACACCGTAAAAATGCAGACTTCCACACAATTCATTCACGTTGTCTCAACACAAATCAATATTATTTAGGTAATTGGTTCGACAAATTTAAGTGGGTTGAATATAAAACAATTAAGTTGACCTCAAAGAAACATCCCAAGAATTGTGTTGTTTCAGCTCATTTTAAATAAGTAGTTTGAAAAAGCAGAACTGTGTATATATAAATGTAAAGCTGTAAAAATGCTGGATTCCACACAATCGATTTGTGTTGTAACAACATGACGAAATTAAGTTAACTTATTAGTTTTAACCAAATTTAAGTGGATTGAACATAAAACAATTAAGCTGGCCCCAAAAACCTTGAGAATTGAGTTTGAGCTCATTTTAAATAAGCAGTTTGAACAAACAGCAATGTAATTTTTTGAGTGGCGTTGTAAATACACACAGTGCTTTACTAGAATTCAGCAGTATATTAGAGTACTATTTACATTCATTACTGTAATATTGTTTTCATGTGTGTTTTAACTGACTTTAACTTATAGTAAAGTGTGACAAACAAAACAAATGATCTTCAAAATCATTCATTCATTCTCCTTCGGTTTAGTCCCTTATTTATCAAGGGTCGCCACAGCAGAATGCGCCGCCATTTTATCCAGCATATGTTTTAAGCAGCAGCGGATGCCCTTCCACTTGCAACCCAGTACTGGGAAACATCCACACGCACTCATTCACACACATACTACTGCCAATCTAGTTCATTCAACTCACCCATATCACATGTCTTTGGACTGTGGGGAAAACCAAAGCACCCCGAGGAGGAAACCCACGCGAACACAAAGTCCACACAGAAATGTCAACTGACCCAGCTCAGCTGGGACTCGAACCAGCGACGTTCTTGCTCTGAGGCGACAATGCTAACCATTGAGAAAGCCACCGTACTTGTGGGTGTACTTGAATGACTTAACGCAGCACGATGAGTTCACTTTCAGTCACTAGAGGGAGACAGTTTCCTCTGTAACGCCCCAAAAAACGCATCAAGTCTTTGGAAATAGATATTATATATAGATTTAATGTATATAAACTACGTAAATTTGTACGTCTACATTCGTAAATAATGACTCATATTAAAACCAAATCTACAGACAGCCTGATATCCAAGTGCTGTGGAGTTGTGTGTAGAAATGCCAGGAAAAAAAGAAACAGTTAACATATGAGGTCCTGAGGAGAAACTTTCTTCTTGATTTATTCCTCAGACAGGACTCTATTATATTGCTGTCTTCGGGGTTACTGTAGTGCAGCGTCTGACATCATGATCAGTGTTGCCTTTTCCTGGGGAAATCCGTCACAAACACGGCGGGAACAGGAAAACATTCACAGGAGGAGGAGGTGAGATTTTAGACTGAGGTAGTTGGTTAGCTAAACATTCCAGCATGCTTGAGACATGCTCCCTATATTGTGTATGGTAACATTAGCACTATTTAATTGCATATGAACAATGTTCTACTTTGATAGTCATTGCTGCTAATATGATTTCACTATTTTGAATTTGCAACGTCTGAATGTGTGAATAAAAAACAACTTTACCTCACTTATCAACTTGTGACATACTCCCTATTGTTTACCTTGGTACTTTGAATATTCGGTCTGAAATCACATGCAAGTTTGTCTTCAAAACAACATTAGTACTGTTTACAGTAATTGAAGTGAACACTGCTGTACTTTGATGGTCATTGGGTGCTAATATGATTTCACTTGAATTTGCATAGTCTGAACTTGTGAAATCTATCTATCTATCTATCTATCTATCTATCTATCTATCTATCTATCTATCTATCTATCTATCTATCTATCTATCTATCTATCTATCTGTCTGTCTGTCTGTCTGTCTGTCTGTCTGTCTGTCTATATAATTTGGTATGCTGATATTGCAGAGAAAGTAACTTACATTAATATTGGAATATATTGGAGGAAACCATTAAAATTAATTTATTCTTTCTTTTGTTCTTTCTTTCATTCATTCTTTCTTTCATTCATTAATTTTCTTTGGCTTAGTCCCTTTATTCATAAGGGGTCTCCACAGCGGAATAAACCGCCAACTTATCCAGCGGATTCCCTTCCAGCTG